TGCCTCCTGGACTTTATTCCTTATCCAGACAAAGCCCACAACTGTCACCAGGAAATTGCGTATTGTCACTCTGTCTTTATAGGTCCAGGGGAGAGCCCTTACTGAATAGCATCTCCTGCTGGAAGCAGCACAATTGCACTGTTGCAGATAGGCACTCGGTGCATCGGCCTTGGATCAAAATCAATGCTTTTAATGAGATCAGCAAGGCTTAATGATCTCTCTGTGTGCACTGTAGCTTTTGTTCTTTCAAAGGAGACTTCCATTTTTGGTTATCTCCAAAACAGTGTCAAGCTTTTTGAGTACTGCTGAATTCTGAGAGTCAAGAGTTTAATGTTGCGTTAAATTTTCAACATCCTGTTAACAACCAAAGGCTCATGTGTTAGGATGGAGCTAGAATAATTCAGCTCGTCATGAGTCCTCATTATACCACAAAAGGGGACTGTGCTCCAAAAGTGTCCATATTGTGACTAGACTCTAATTACATAGCCATTTTATGTGCCCCCAGAGATGCCATTATGGTATCTTTAGTAGAGTGGAAAAGACTATTGTTTGCATTCAGCATGCTACTCCCTGCATTATCTTCCACTGCACATAAATACAAAGGGGAAACTATATATAATTTATTTTCATTTTAAATTTTAAAAAAGTCCCCGCCCTCAGTCCCCTTTTTTTGTTCCAACTGCAAAATAGCTACTCTAATGTGGTTTAATTAAATTTACACCCTAATTTTCCAAACTAGTAACATTGCATTCAGTAAAAGTACACATGTGGAAAGAGCTTATACTCTCATGTGATTTCTTCACTCAAATATATATATAAGCATCCCAAGAAAGTAAATAAAGGGGCAGGGTAAAACAGAAATATAAGCTTAGCCAGTAACTATAAAGTAAAGTTGGACTTCTGGTTTGGTGCAAGCCGGGATGACCAAAGCTAGGTATTTTTCATTACTATGAAATATCATTTTTTAGGGCTTGGGAACCCTTAAAAAAAAAGTATAAAGTTCTATCCATCTTCTCTCCAAACCTCAAATGTCAATACAAGAAGCTGAATGAATGGAGAAACATATATATCATCAATGGACAGAGGATTTTCTTTTGTATGTAACCTGAGTCAACAGAGTTGATGGAACCAAGACAGGCTCCTAAGATGGGCAGATAAAACCTGATGACATTCAACATGGAGAAACGCAAGGTGCTCCACCTTGGGAGAGAGAACCCACATCATACGTAGAGGCACGGCAGTGCCACGCTCACTAGCACCACGACCAAAAGAGACTTGGGGTTATGACTGATCACAGGATGAACATGAGCCACCAATGCAATGCTGCAGCCAGCAAAGCAAATAAAACTCTGGCTTGCATCTACCGATCCATCTTAAGCAAGACCCAAGAAGTCATCCTCCTGTGGTACTTGGCCTTGGTGAGATCACATCTGGAGTACCGCATCCAATTCTGGGCTGCACACTTCAGAAAGGATGTGGGGAAGCTTGTGAGAGTCCAGAGGAGAGCCACGTGCATGCTCAGAGGACAAGAGAGCTGTCCTTATGAGGAGAGGCTGAGAGCATCGGCGATGTATAGGGGGTGCATGCAGGTGCATGTGCACCCGCTGAGATCAGCCGTTAACCCCCTGGAAGCGCCAGCTGTGAAACTGGAAATGCACTTCTGGTTTTGCTGCTGGCTCGGTGATCAGCCCCTGGTGACCTCCCCCCACAGTTGGCAATGATTGGCTGCTGGGGGACCCCTCCCCCTGTTGGTGATATGGTGCCCCCCTGAATCGGGAGGCACCAGTCACTCATAGCTGAGAGGCATGGGACTCTTCAGCCTAGAGAAGCAAAGGCTCAGGAGTGACTTGGTGGCAGCCTATAAGTACATCAGGGGTGTGCATCAGGAATTGGGAGAACATCTGCTCCCCAGGGAACCCCAACGGAAGACAAGGTCTAACGGTCACAAACTGCTGGAAGACTGTTTTAGACCGGACATAAGGAAAAACGTCTATATTGTCCGAGTCTCCAGAGTCTGAAACAGACTCCCCCAGAAGTGGGGCAAGCACCTACTATAGATACGTTCAAGAAACGCCTGGATGCTCATCTTGCTGGGATCATCTGACCCCAACTGACTTCCTGCTCTTTGGGCAGAGGGCTGGACCCAATGATCTTGCAAGATCTCTTCCAACCCTGATGTCTGTGAAAACTATGAGAGTAGTGTAAGTTCTGAAATGCTGGTGTTGATTGGCTGCTTATTTTATAAAGCCCCCAGCCAAGGTTGCCATTCTAGGTAAATTCCAGTTGTGAGGAATTTAAACAAAAGGTCCTGGTTTTGATCCAATAAAACGTTCTGCTCCTTGACATATGAGTAGTCAAACAACTAGTTAAGTGGATAAAACTATTAAGAGGTCATTTGACCTGCAATACTACTAGTATTACCCCAACACTAATAGTTTCCCTGTCCGTGAAAAAATATGAAAATAACAATATGGGACATGAGATATTTTCCTACATTTAGCTCTTAGCTTTTCCGTAGGAGCTGCCTTGACAGTGATGATAACTGGAGACTAGGACATTTCGCTAGGAATCAATGACTGACTGAAGTTAATGGCTCTCAGCCTATGAGGTCATTAATCTTCAGGGAGAACCTTGAGCTTTAGTCATTATTGTTGAAATAAACTTCAGGAATTGTGTTCTGACTAGTGTAGTTCAGGTTTTTCCTTTTTCTCATGTTTTCCATCTTTTCTGTTTCTCCTCTTTCCCCCACTTTACCACCTGTTAAAATGCTTCAAGCCGTTTCACCACATACCTAAAGAAAGTCGTCTCTTAAAATAGACTTTCCCCTACTTTCAAATACCTGCTAACTAACTTTAGCAAACTCATCAACGGAAGAAAACTCTCCACCGATCGACACACACGTGACATTGAAACAGACCTTGTTAAAACACAACTGCAGACTCCTCCAACACATTTCCACCCCAGCCTGGGTCAACACCTCACAATGAAAGCATCAGAAGACCAGTTCTACATCTGCCTATCCAACATGTGGTACGTCTCCTTCAATGCACGGAAAATGATGTAGATGAAACCTCCATTCTCAAACGTATGGTACAGAATGAATTTGCAGAGAAAAATAATTAAGAAACAAAGGAGGATCTTCTTTTTTTTGTTTTTTTTTGGTGAACTGTTACTCCACCTGTAACCTCACAGTCCTCCTCCTCAAAGGAAGCCTGCACAAAGCCTTCAGAATACAATCCTGAGACTGGAAATTCCCCAAATCATGACCTTGAAAAAAGACAGTGCTTTTGTGACTCATCATAATTTACCTCTCACCCTTTCCTGTCTCCTAACTCCTTTTCACTCTACAACTTCCCATTCAAGCAAGCCAAATAATTAACAGCATTATATTAAAATGAGGGGTAGTGTTTTTAGCTTGGACTATGACTTTCTTGGTTGTTTGTTTTTTTTCTCCCGGACCCCAAAAGCTTGTCTCTCACTCCTCCCAAATATGCAAGTTGGTCTGATAAAAGATATGACCTCTCCTCAAAAAACTTCACTCATATCTCTGCACCGTCATTTGGACAAGAATATTGCTTAATATATCTTGCCTGTCCAATGTTTCTTCTGATAATACCACCGTTTTGTTTGCAGGTTTGTAAGTGTAACTCCAGTACACCCACTGTTTGTCTGATGGTAATGCTGCTGCCGTTGTAGGGGAGCATCAAGCAGATCATCAAGTCCGACCCCCTGCCATTGTAGGGGGGCACCGGATGGGAGCTCTGTCTCACCACGGGGCTTGAGCTTTGGACATTTGACTGTGTTCCGTATTGAAATGACATCTGAACATTTCCAAATTACGAGGGAACACTATTTCCAAGATAAATTTAGTTTCTGTTTTTTCAAAAGTGGTGTTTTGACCAAAAATGAAGCTTTTTTTCCCCCTATTTTGACACTCTGTGGTGCAATGTGTAATAATTGAACCAAAATGCCATTTCAAAGTTATAAATCAAAATCTTGTATTATGAAAATTTAGAAATATTCTTTTCAGCACAGTTGAAACGTCTATCTGGTTTTCCTCTGAAATGAAATTTGCACAAAGGATTTTGATGGATAATTCTGAGTTCTAATAAAATACAGCTCCTTCAGTGTTTCCTTGGCCAGTTTTCACTTTAGACAAAGTGTCTGCTTTATCCAGGGCATGGATGTAGTAGATGCTCTCTTTCGTTTTTGATATTCTCCATAAATCACTTAGGATGTGAAATCCTAGTGACAGAAAACATAATTTGTATGTAGTAGTGTCAGTGGTATTTATGCATAAGAGTCAAGAAATATCCCAAGGCAACTGCTCTCATTCAAAGAGCTCAAGTATCATTTAATCATATGTTCAGGAAACCACGTTGGGCTTTTCCTAATTTTAAGGAACAAAACATCGTACGCTACGGTGAAATCTTTGTATACCCTAATGCATTTCAAAATGCCACTTCCAACTCTCTGCACGTCATGCAGTGTGCCTATCTGACAAAGGTGTATTTGGATGCATACTTTTGTGCAGTTAAATTGTTTGGAAAGGAGTTTTGGTTTGGATTTGGGCCCAGAGGCAGATGTGGGGAAGGAAACAGCTGAAATACCTCCATTGATGTAACGTATGTCACGGTGAATTTTCGGTGTTAGAGACCACAGCTCTGACAAAATCCATTTAAGTGCCCAGGAATCAGGGGGTGTAGCAATGTGAATAGCCACATTTTAGTCACTGGAGCCCTCAACAATATTTCAGAGGAAGGCTCAATCACTCATGGATGACTACTTGGCTTTGCTAATGGTGAATATATTGATTTGAGTCGGCAGGGGTGAGAAATTTAAAGCAGGATCCTAAATGCTCTCGTGAAGGCAGATTGTAAACGGGACCCTTCGCAGAAGGCACCCCAGGAGGTGGAGATCACTGCAGTTGAAAAGTTGCCGTTTCGTTTCGAGAAGTGTTGCTTTATCATCCCCGGTTCTTCTATTTGTGTTTTCTCCAGGCAAAGCGTACACGCCCGAGTTTTACTACGACACCTACAACCCCCTGTGGCAGAACCGGCCCCGGGTTTACTCCTACAGCCTGCAGTGGACTCAGATGAACCCCGACGCTGTGGATCGCATCCTTGCGTACCGCCTAGGGATTAAGCAGGTGAGGCAATCCGTGCTACACCCGGTGCTTTTTCACGGTCTGCTCTCTGTGAGGACTGTGCTGCCGGTTGTTTTCTTCCCATCTCCTGAGTCTCTCAGCCTTTGTGCTGCTCCGCTTGTGAAGATTTGCTGTGAAAGGCAGTCCTGTCCTGCTTACAAATCCTTGAAACTAATTTGCACAGTTCCAGTGCAACAGCCCAGAGATTAAAGATATATTCCTCGGAGGGTTTATGGCAGGCTTCTGCTCAAAATGTACCGGAAAAGATTACATGAAAGAAACTTGCAATGAAATTAAACTTTTTATATCTCCCCGTATATCCAGATAGCTCCTGTTATATCTCCTTGTACAGCTAGATAAATATAGAGATAGATATATCTGTCATAGGTGGGCATGTTGTGTGATCTTTGAAAATCGTAAACTTTTTAAAATATATTTTTTGCACGTAGTCCCTGTGTCTTTCTAGGATTCATTTTGATAAAACAGGTGTCCTTAAAGATGAGGGGCACAGACCCATTTCCAGAAAGGCTAGTAAATTAATATTCTAATGTTTGTCAGTCAGTCTTAATGCATCGTTTAATTTTTTTAAAGGAATATAAATATCTTCTAATCTGGTGGTTGCTCTGCAGCACGAACTGTTTATTCAACTAGCAGAATAGTATGTACCGTAAACTGGAACGGATAACTCCTCCCTTACTGCCATCAAGATCACATAGCAAAGCAGAGAAACATTTTTCTATTTCTAAATTCCTGTCCACAAGGGTGACCCCCAAACCTGCAAGTATATATTCTAAATCAGAAGATGCTTACAATATAGTAAGACTGTTTTGGGGCTTATTTGTTGGTTTGTTTGGTTTTTTTTTTTGGGGGGGGGTGGGGGGATGTCTAATGGTTCTCTCTGGGCTCTGTGTGTGTGCTAAACCCTACACATATATAGTAGATTCATCGTTATGGAAGTTGGTTGAGGGTATTTTGCTCGTCAGTATTTCCATATATTGGAAAGGGAAAAATGAATGACTCAAAATAGGTCCCTTTGATATGAAGTCTTCCTCAGCTATAGCCTTCTTGGGTACGTCCAGATGAGCGAGCATGTGCCTGTGGTGGCACCTCAAAGTAGTTTGCGATTCCTCAAGAGGCACACTGGGAACAAAAAAAAATGTTCCCCATGCTGCTATTTGCAGCGCGGGCTCTAAGTCTTATACCAGGAAATCTCGGTGTCAAAAAAATGAAACCCCACGCTGGAAAAAAGCAGCTCAGATCATACTCCTGGAGCATGCCCAGAGGCAACCAGAGCCTGGCTCCTCCACAGAGATGCTCTGGCACCCAGCCAGTGTCTCTATTGTTCCCCATGCCCCTGCTGCTGCAGCACGCTGGGGCAAATAGGAGCAGGGCAAGGCTGCAGCAGCAGCTCAGACCCAGGCTCTGTCCCAGGTAAGAAGGGATGTGGGCCTTGCAGGACTGTGTGTGTGTGTGGTGAGGGGGACTGCTCTGGAGGGATGGGTCTCCCACCTGCCCACCCCTGCCTCGCATGGTGCACAACCCACCCAGCAGCATCAGCTTTTGGGGTGCTCATGATGCAGGGGCAATTGCCATGCTGCAGCCCTGCCCCATGCCCACACCAGTGCTGGGATATGCAGCCTCAGTCTGGGGGGGCTCTGGTCCCAGTTACCACTTGCGGGGTGTGATGGGATGCGGGGAGGGATGGAGGTGGCAGCAGGGGTGTGCGTGTGAGTTGGGGGTGGGGGATTGCTCTGGGGAGGAGAGTCCACCAGAGCTGGACTTAGAGCCCCCTTACCCCCCTAAAGCAACCTGTGCAGGGGGAGGCTGGCCTGGAAGGGAAAGGGCTTGCCCAGCCCAATGCCTGATGCCCAGTCGAGGGCTTCCCAGGAACAGCGTGGGGGTCACTAGGGCTGGGAGCAGAACAGCAAGCACTAACACAGATCAGAGCCACAAAGCAGTGGGCTGCAGCTGGACTCGCATCCTGGTGCTTTGATGGAGCTGTGTGCAGGAGGGAGTTAGTTGGGGCAGGTAGGTGCTGCGGGTCAGGAGTGAGGGGCACTGGCAGGGCTGTGGGTTGGCAGTGAGGGGCAAGGGTTGGGGCAGGAAACCAATGTATCAGTGCTGCTCAGTGCCCCACATCCTGGTGAGCGAAGGGGGTGGGGGCAGCTCGGATTTTTCTATGACAAAAAACCCCAAAACAACCGACAAAGTGTATAGGTATTTATAATGTATTTTATTATGATAGAAGCAGTGGTAGGCTTCCAAATGGCTTTAAAATTGTAAATATATCAATAAAACATTGCCCAGGGGCCACTGTAGGGGTGCAGGGGCCACTGCAGGTCAGGGTTGCTTCAGTAGTCCAGCGGACACAAAGTAGTGTCCCCAGATACCAACTGGCCAGTCCTCAGAAGCTCCTGAGAGCAAGTAGCCCTCAGCTGCTTGCCAGGACATACTGCTGGAGCCAGCACAGGTGTTGCCCCAGCCTCTAGCTGCCCCAGCTGAAGATCCGGGGGGAGCTGGGCACGGTCGGTTTGCCCCAAGTGGCATCATTTCAAAGTGCATGTTGAGGCACGTGTGCTAAAGCACAAATCTCCGGCACAAATTTGTGCCACTGCTATTTGAGGTGCTGCAAGTGCACGTGCCTGCGTGTGTGGATGCGCCCCTTGAGTCATATTTTCTCAGTCATGTTTTAGCTCGCTTGTGGCTGAAAAAAGATGAGAAGGGATAAGGCAGATTGGCTCTATCTTTCTGGCAGAATTTATAGTATTGCAGTGTGTGTAGACCTTACCATCTTTGGTGCCCAAGTGCATTCTGGGAGAAGACTGAGCAATCCAAAGGAATGCATAATTAAAGGGGAGCTCCAGAAGGGTTTTTGTTCCTTAAGACACTCAATTCTTCTGGAGCATCCTCAGAGTGATGTGGGTCTGTCCTTCTTCCACAGGACCAGTGACTTAGGGCCATGCTCTGACTTATAGGGAATAAGCTACCTACAGATATAGGGAGGTTCACAGTGCACAAAAAATGACAGACAGCTAAGAAAATATTCAAGGAAATGGGTAGTGGCAAGAAAAACCTACTTTGCAGTCTCTTTCTTGCCTCTGCTACTAATAAAACATTTAGAAACTATGCACCTTATACAAACGGGACCTGTTTTAGGGTCTCCCACACAAAACAGACTTACTTTTTCCCCTCCTATTTTTTCTTTTTATTCTTAGACAATGGGGGAGGCTGGTCCTTTTTACCTGCGTTTCGAGTTTGTTTTCTAGTTAGTGTCTGTGCTGCTTCACGTTGTAGCCTTCGCTATTGAAACCAATTTCCAAACATATATAGTATAGGCACCTTCATATACAGAGGTGCACCTGGTCGGGTTTGCTAGAGGGCCCAAGCCAGTTAGACATCTGTATCCTATTGAAAATTAGTTAAGTGTCCAACTCATTAAGCATTTTTGCAAACCCAAGCAGGCATCTACATCATTAGGCAACTAAATACCTTCATAAATTGGTCCTGCTATCCCAAGGACTCAGATAAATCAATCAACTTCAGAAATGGGTTTTGCTGGATTACAAAAACATATAGTGAATGTGTTTCTATCTATACGAGGACTTTTAGCTTTCCCTTCCCAACTTGGTTTTTATTGTATTGCTATTGCTTGGATTGGGCGGGGGGG